TTAATAGTGGCTCCATTCTGAAGTGGTGGTTCTGAGGCTCTGCTAATTTTTCTTCAGTCTTTTTTCTCTCTGTTCTTCAGATTGCATAAAATCTATCAGTCTACTTTCAAATTTAATTCTACCAGTTGAATTCTACCCTTAATCTCTCTATTGGATTTTTCACTTTGGCTACTTTTCAGATCAACTACAGAATTTCTATTTGCTTCTTCTTTACAATTTCTGTATCCTTGTAAATATTCTCTATTTGCTGAAACATCATCATCATCATCATTTCCTTTGTCTTTTAGCATGATTTCCTTTAGCTATTTGAACATGTTTATAATGGCCTTGAAATCTTTATCAAATCCAATACTGAAACCACTCAAAAGCAGTTCCTGTTGCCCTCCACACACACTTTAAATGGGTCACATTTTCTAGTTTCTTTGTATGTCTTATATTTTTTTTATTGAAAACTGTATCTTTTTTGCCAAGTGGGGTGGTTCAGGAAGCTGAAACAGGAGATAACAAGTTTGAGATCATCCTGGGTAACTTAGACACTATCTCAAAAACAGGAAAAAAAGAAAAGTATGTGGGGGGGGGGTGATGTAGCTCAGAGGTATAGCACCATTGGATTCAATCCCAAGTTCAAAAAAAGAAAAAAAAACTACAAATTTTGGGTAATATATTGTGACAACTCTGAATAATGAGTCCCACTCCCTTCTCTGGAGGGCTTGATTCATTAGTTTCCTATCTCTAATGGAGCCACTGCCCTTCATTTCCTGATGTTCAATATCTTGAAAACCATATCTTCATATATTTTGTGTAGTTTTTGTATTGTTTCAGAGAGAGGTGTATCCAATTCATATTTCTGCATTTCAACTGGAACAGAGGTCTTATTTAATGATTTGACATATTGATTTTGTTTCTTTCTGGTTTTCAGTTATCTCAAATTCTTGGGCTACTAAGATCTACAAATAATTAATCCTTTTACAATATTCTGACAATTTTCCCCCTTTGAAAGCTCCAAATGACCTGAATGATGCAAATGTTCTGCTAAAGCAGTGTCCAGTTAATTGCCAGCCCAGATCTAATTTCTCAACTTAGACATTTCTATATCAAGTGGATAGGGTGATTTTAGATTCTATATGTGTGAAAGACACCTTGGGGTTTTGACTTCTAGTGGAAATCACATAGAACCCTGGGTAAAAACAAGTTTCTAGGGGCTGGGATTGTGGCTCAGTGACTTGAGTGCCTGCCTTGTACATGTGAGGCCCTGGGTTCGATCCTCAGCACCACATTAAAAAAAAAAAAAAAAGAAAAGAAATATAAAAAATAAAAACAATGCCCTCCTTTGCTATTCCCCCTTTCAAGACTTAAACCTTTCTTTAAAAAAAAAAAAAAGTTTCTCTTTGTACTTTATCTGAGTCAACAATAAAAATATTCTATTTTTTTTTTTTAATCAGGGTTGAAAAGCCCTTCTAGGGTTCTGGCTTATGAAGACGTTTAGTACTTAACCCTGCCTTGAACAGATTCAATAATGCACCTCTTCTTACTCAAGTAGTAAAATCCAAGTTTAGAAAAACTTAGGTAAATTATGAATTTGAAAACATCTCCAGGACTACTATAAAGAGTTTTTAGCTTATTGGTCACTTTGGCTCATGGAGACTTCTTTTCCTTTCGATGGGTTCACCTAGGCATTAAATTGCTCATATTTAAATTCAATGTTAAGTAAAACAGAAGGAATTTCATGGAAAATTTATCATATTTGGGGACCATAAATTTCCTTCTCCCACAAAAATTCAGGTAAAAATTTATATATGTATGTGTATGTCCATTATTACAGGGAGAGTCTAAGATTGCAATCAAATTCTTAGATGAGTCTATGACCTAAACAAAGGTTAAAGATAATTGTTTTTCACCTTGTGTTCCTTTTGCCTAAAATTTTACAATTAGGGTGCTATCTATTCCTACAAATTCAGGAGTTCTTTGACCCATCTTCTCTATCACATATACATATCTGAGTATATTTTCTATGTTTCAAGTTAACAGCTCCCCATTTGTCTTTTGTATCTTTCAATATCTCTAATTTCAATAGGTTTGTAACACTTTTTTTAACTCAATAATCAATAGAATCAGAATTCTACATGTCTCTTTTGAATATGAAAATAAAAATGCACTGCAAGGGCTGGGACTGTGGCTCAGTGGTACAGCGCTTGCCTCACACGTGTGGGGCCCTGGGTTTGATCCTCAGCACCTCATGAAAGTAAATAAAAAGGTATTTTGTCCATTTACAACTAAAAATATTTTTTAAAATGTGCTACAAGAGGAGGAAAAAGGAGGGGTAGAGAGAAAAGAAGAACTATTCTACAGAATCAAATTAGTATACAGAAAAAGAGGGTTCAAAAGGCACAGAATGAAGATGGTTAAGATTTAAAGGCATAATGATATTAGCCCTCAGAGAGGGATCAGCACGTCTGAGTGTTCATCTGTTTTACAAAATAACTCCTTGATTATACCACCTAACCTACTTGATTTTTATTCTAGATACACAGGGGGGAAATAGCCAGTTCAGCAAAAATATTAAAATAATATATAAAATATACATATACACCCCAAAATGTTTATATCTACTTCTCAAATATCCATTATAATTATGGTATTCAAATAGTTGAATAATTCCACACATAAATAGATTAAGGAAGAATTTTTCTTTGTAGAAGACTTCATTGTCAATTCAGAAAAAAAGAAAACAGAGAGAATCAATTTTGTCATTTACTCATACTACATTTTACCGAAATATACTAGGCGAGGCAAGCATAAATAATTAGATTATCCATTTCCTGGTGAAAATTATCGTCAGACACAGATGAAAGTCAGAAAAGTACTTTAAAAGTATTTTAAGTAATAATTTATAAGACTTGCCTTCTGTTTTGGAAAGCTATTTGACATCTGATCAATTTATTTATTGGATAAATGGAGTATTAAACCCAAGTCACATGAATGTTGTGAGAATCACACATAAAGATGTCTGTCTCTCAAAACATAGAAAAAGGAAGAAAAATACAGTGAACAAAAAACAATAGCAGCTAGAGTAAGACTGTAGGACTTTCTGATTCATTTTCTACTTTCCTGTGAATAAACTGTCCAAGACTTTCCTGTATTAGAAAATGAATTATGTAACAAATAAAATTTCTGAAACTTTAGTTATGGCCCCTCAAGGTTCTAATTGAGGCCAAGTATCCCCAAATCTACTCATTTATTAAATTCCATTATGTTCCTAATACTTTTCTTTTTTCTAGGAAACATTTAAAACAGTTTCTCTTCTTCTCCCATTTAATTTGTTGTTGTTGGTGGTGGTGCTATTTTGTTTTGTAGTTATGGAGATCAAACCTCAGAGATACAACCCACCCGAAACCCTCCTGTAGGAAACATTTCATAAAATTCTCCAAAAGTCCTATAAAAATCCCAGATCCTGGCAGACAGCAAGGAGAAAAGATTATCAATCCCTGACTTTAGTAATCTCTTGATATTTGATCCCTTGAACTAAAATACTCCTGTAAGTTTCTAAAAGATAAAAAGAGTATATACGAGGGGGGGAAAAAAGCAAACTTCAGATAGCAAAATCTCCTTTCTCCTATTCTAATCCCCTTTAGTTCCACTTTCTTCCAGTTCTGACCTAAGTATTTGAAAGCAAGAAATCCTATTATGAATTGAAGCAATACAATATATCCTCAAAAGCTGTTTCTTTTGAGAAGTGAGTATACCCAAGTGGTGAGTAGCTTTGCTTTCTAATAACAATATATGATTAATGTTAAATATCTAACACTCCAATGTCAACAAAATCTATCTCTGACCAGCCATGGTGGCACATACCTATAATCCCAGCAGCTGGGGAAGCTGAGGCAGGCAGATCACAAGTTCTAAGCCAGCCTCAGTAACTTCACAAGATCCTAAGCAACTTAGTGAGACCCTTTCTCAAAATAAAAATAAAAAGGACTAAGGATGTGGCGTAGTGGTTAAGCACCCCCTGGGTTCAATACCTGATTAAAAAAAGAAAATCTCTATCCATATAACAGCAATTAAAAAACAGAGGTTGTTACCAGTCTATCAGGATTCTTTTAAGGGCATTAAATTCTATCACTCCAAAAATGAAAAGTTATAAATTTGTTTCCTCTAGACATTTCCCTATGAAAATCAATTCCTTCATTGTTAAATTACATGGGAAATTTTCTGGTTTGATAAAAAGGCACTGAGAAGAAAAGTAACTTTGACCTACTCATTTAAAATTTCTTAGATGGAAAGCTTTCCTCTTTACCTTGCTATTCAAAATGTGGTTCACGAACTGGCATCATTTGGGAACTTATTAGAAATGCAGAATATCACTGAGTGCAGTGGCACATGCTCATAGTTCTAGCTACTTTGGAGACTGAGGTTTATAGGTTCAAGGTCAGCTTCAGTAACTTAATGAGACCCTGTTTCAAACTCACTTTTAAAAATAAAAAGGGCTGGAGATATAGCTCAATGATAGAGTTCCTGGGTTCAATCCCCAATGCCACAATAATAATTAAATAAATAAATAAATACAGACTATCAAGCATACTATACTCCAGCAGGATACTACTCTACATCTCAGATCTAATAAATCAGGATCAGCATTTTAAGAAGATGCCCATAATTTACGCACACATTAAAATTTAAAAAGCATACAGTAAGGAGATCTTAAGGTCCTTACAGTTGTTTCCTATGAAAAAAATCATCTGACAATATTGAAGCCTATATTTTCATGTGGAAAAACCTGGACAGGGCTGAGTAAGAGCTATTTTGTTAGGCAAGCCATGCACTCTTTCTAGCTCCCCCAAGCCTCACCTGCAATCCCCATCCATTTGTGAAAATTGCTTGGTTCCTATTCAGTCTCTAAACTGAGGAAGTCCCCTTTTTAATAAAAAAAGATATGCCTTCAGAAGTAAAATTCATTAGCTACATTTTTAAGTGAAAGGAAAAAAAAAAAACTGTTCATTTACCTTGATGGGAAGTAGTGAGGTCCAGGTAGGAAGTAAGGGTGATGGAAAGAGAATCGTAGAGGTGTCCCAAACAGTGTGGCTGGATGGCCAAGGGGAGGAGGCTGGTAGACATGTGAGTGTGGAAGGGGAGGAGCATGGGGGATTGGAGCACTTCTGGGACAAGTGGAAATGCTGGAATACTCCTTGGGAGGTTGGATGGTTGAGGTTGCAAATCTGGCATGGGCTGTACTTGCACTAGTTGGAATCCTGCTGGTGCTCTCCAGAGAGACAGGAGTAGGTCTCTTCACAGAGTGATTGGCTCCAGAAGGTAGCTGATTAGTGTCAGTTTGGGAAGGCCCAGCAAAGCGTTGAGGAGGGAGTGCTGGGCGAAGTGGCAGACTTGGAGCCTGGACGGCTACCTGGGCAGTACTGGAGACGCTGGGCTGGAAAAGTGTGATGGGGCTTGGGCGCTGGACTGCAGGTGTGGGCAGTTGGATGGCAGGTGGGGCTTCACCTTTAGAAATAAAAAGAGCATAGGTCAAGCATTAATTGGATCATGGCATGTTTTTCCTTTTCCAGTAAAATTTAATGAACTGTTAAGAGGCCTTCATAATTACCTTACCTAACAGCATTATCATACCAAACCGCTGTATTTCATTTATAGCATTTTGAACAAACTGAAAGACACCATGATTTGTTTATTCATATTTCCAAAAAAAAATCTATTTCCCAAACAAACTCAAAGTCCCAAAAAAAGAGAGACTTTTTCTGTTTTGTTCATTACTGCACTCTGAGGCAGAGTTCTGCAAGGCACAGATTAAGCCCCCAACAAATTGTTTCGGATGAATAAATAAATTGATAAAACTACTTATTCATAAGTTGAAAGCAGGAATATATACAAATGCTGGTAGGCATATATAATTTTTTCTAACAAATAATATAACTACTGACAATAACTACCTGAAAGGTCATCTAGGAAAGGGAACAGGACAGTTGAACAGTAGGAAAAGCTAGACTTTGATTTGGTATTATGTGAATTTTATAAATTGAAATATATTAATTTTATTTTTAATATTAATAGAGTTTCAGAGTAGTAGTATGGGTAATTTTTCTTTTATATACTTCTGTATATTAAACTAAATTATAAATGACAATTTTGTTGGAAAAAAGTTAAGTGATAAACAACATTGTTTCACTCCATTGCATTCAACATGAATCCATAAGGAAATTTCCCAACGAACGTAAACTTAGCAAAGATCAACCATTTGTGACATATACTAAAGGAAATGCTATTTAGAGCAGGGCACAATGGGGATTATGGCAGAATTTTTAAAGTCAGGTAAACCAATTTTGTGTTTTATCTTTCTGTTCCTGAAGACAGGATGCTGACTGAGTTGCCCTTTTATCCAAATGACATACCTATCCTTAATGTAACTAAATATTCCTAATTAAATACTGACAGAAGTCATAGCAATAGAGTAATACACAGTATATTCCAATGCAGCTAGCTGTCTGCACTGGAAATAAAAAAAAAGTGCAGTTCAAGAACAGACTGAAGTTAGGAATGTCTCTGTCAAGGCCAAAAAATTATAGATCAGTCTTTCAACGATATCCAGATAACACCACCCCTTCTTTATTTCAGTTAATGCAGATAATTCCTCTCCTCATCCTGGAAATAGGGAATGAAGGGACACATGCATCTGTTTCAAGATGGTATCTGACCCAGTGAAGTAACAATAAAGTATGAATGAAGCTATCCTGATGCTCAGTTGATGAGGTAGCATGGATTAGTCCTCTCACCTGTGAGGCACAGGCTTTCGTCAGGCCTTTCCTGGTTTATCAAGCACAATTTCTTTCCTAATCCCCATTGTGCCCTGCTATAAATACCATTCCTCAAAACCTTGCAAATCTATAACTATCACAAAATAGTGTAAATATTTTTATGTCCACCACCCCTACCACAATCACCAAGCTGGGCACTTGAGAGTGTATCCCCAGAATCTGGTTAATAAAAAATAAAGAAAGATTGGAGTGGATAAAAGAAGAAACTAACAAATCAGCCTAAAGATAAAAACCTCCTCTAAAGTCAGGCTCTAACTTTCAAAATCTCTCAAGATTTTATAAATTGCATTATTTTTGTGCTCAAAACATTTACCAAAAATCTACCTCTGGTGCAGATTTCTTTTTCCTATAACCAGTACAAAAAGCTCTTAGTTTTCAGTAAAGAAGTATGGTCTTTCTAAGCAAACAAAAAGTAAATTATAAGAGCTGTACAGAACGATTAATAAAGTTTCAGTCACTGAGGAAGGGAGGGTTGTGTCTTTTACCAAATGTTCTTTTCTACCAAATGTATTTCTATAAAAGAAGAGGTGAAAATGAGGCATGGCACTATAATTATGCATTCATTCGATTCAAGTATTCATTAAGCAACTAAAATGTTCCAGGCACTTTTTGCTCTATGGTCATAAATTAGGTAGATAAGGAGTTATATGAAAGCATAGCATCATGTCAAAATTCAAGCCACATGAGTTCATGCATGCCTTTAATCCAAGAGACGTGGGAGGCTGAGACAGAAGGACTGCAAATTCAAGGTCAGCCTCAGGAACTTAGTGAGGCCCTAAGCAACTTAGCCTGACCCTGTCTCAAAATAAAAAAATAAAAAGAGCTGGGATGTGACTCAGTGGTTAATTACCCCTGGGTTCAATCATTGATATTCCACCCACCAAAATCAAGGATGTTAAATAGGAGGTTAAAGTCTGCAACATACAGTCACCACTGTTAAAACTGTCAATGAACAAGGAAGGTTTGTGAAAAAGACAGACCTCTAACCTATCAAACAACTATATATGGTAGAAACTAGCCAGTCAGAAACTAGTCAGTGCCTTGTTTACTCTTCTTCTAGGTTATATTTGCCAGCCTCCCTTGCAGTTAAGAGTGCCATGTAGATAAGGGCTACCTGGTAGAATGTAAACAGAAGCTATGTCCATCTCTTCTAGGACTGGCCCATGAAAGACTCTCACACATGACCATCCATGTTCTTTTCCCTTCTGCAGGTCCAGGCACAACAGTACAGAGGCCTTAGATGCCATATATTAAAAGATGGCAGAACCACAAATCAGGATCAGCTTGTCTATAAATTACCTTTTGGAAGAGAGCCACTTACCAACCAAAAATACCCCTTTTGGACTTTACATGCGTAAAAAAAATAAGTTTTGTGTTTAAACTGTCTTAAGAGCAAAAAAACTACTGCACATGTTCAATGAAAGAAAGGTACAATCAATTTTTTGCTGTATGATTGGGATGAACAGTGAAGCAACAGAGTCATGGCAGAAACTGACACAAACCAATTTTTTTCTATAAGAGGTAATAATAAGAAGAGAACATGTATAGCATGTAGCTGGGGACAGACAGATGGGGAATGGAGAAATGAGAATAGTTAGACAATGCTAAGAAAAGTAGAGCTTAGGAAAAGACAAAGGTAATAAGGAGCAAAAGAAGACTTTGCAGATGGCACACACCTGTAATCCCAGTGACTCAGGAGGCTGAGACAGGAGGATTACAAATTCAAAGCCAGCCTCAGTAATTTAACAAGGCCCTAAACAACTCAGGGAGACCCTGTCTCTAAATAAAATATATAAAAGGGCTAGAGCTGTGGCTTAGTGGTTAAATCTCCCTGGGCTCAATCCCTGAAACCAAAAAAAAAAAAAATAGAAGACTTTGCATTGAACCAAGTGATTCCTCCTTCCCACTTTTCAAGAGAACTTACAAGAATTACATCACTTTTCAAGGAATTTTTTCGATACATTTGAGTTTCTTATGGACATAAAACTTTTCTGGAATGGATCTTAAGGCCTTGACAAGGACAAGTAGACCATCTTTTAAAAAAAATGATATCTGAATTATAACAATTATATCAGAATATAATTATATGATAATATAATCCTAACAGCATCAGAATTATGAAAATTTGTTTTCTTTTGTTCTGTTTTGTTTAAGCAAGAAATAGGTAAACTAAAAATTCCATGCATTTACTATGAAAATATTAAATATTAGAAGTAGTAAACTTCTAAATTAAAAACTCAGAGAAAACATATGAAAAATTTAGAGAAAACATTTTCTGAAGAGGAAAATGTCAACTAAGATTTAGTACAGGGGCTGGGGATGTGGCTCAAGCAGTAGCACGCTCCCCTGGCATGTGTGTGGCCTGGGTTCGATCCTCAGCACCACATACAAACAAAGATGTTGTGTCTGCCGAAAACTAAAAAATAATATTAAAAACACTCTCTCTCTCTCTCTCTCTCTCTCTCTCTCCCTCTTAAAAAAAAAGATTTAGTACAGAAAACCAATTTCAGGCTTGACAAATGAAATGCAGAAGACACAATGATATAATAAGAAAATTCATACACATGCAAAGTGACATTTAAAAAGAAAATAAAATACCATTTCTACAGAAGTTCTAAATCCTTTAACTACATTTGAATACTAATACTAATATAAAATAAAGATGCTGGCATAACTAGCAAAGACATTTGATAAAATACACCCACAGAGAATTCTGGACTATCATGCTATAAGCACTTTCAGTTATTAAAAACAGGAAAAGATCTTGGAATATAGCATTAAATGTGAGAGGCAGAGAAAATAATGTGTTGGATTTAAAAATAATACCAGACAAGAAAGTTACTATAAATTGTATCAAAGACATAGTAAAATTAGTTTAATTTGTATCTATCTTTTCCACAACTACCTTATGAACACTTTGATTCCACAGAAACTATAAAATAATCTTTATATTTTGTTCACAACACAGATATACAATAGTTATTTAATAAATATAAGGCAGCAGAAAGGACAGATAGGCAGGCAAACAAATATGGTTTTAGAATTTATTCAGAAAAATCTGAGATAGCAAAATTCACCAAAATAGGGAGAATATCAAATTACACTTCCAATCTTCAAATAGATTGAAGAGCCAAAAGGGATAAAAATATGCTAGGAAGACCTGCACAAATTATTGCTTATTAGAACAGGGTTAGTAGAATACACAATAAAATGTAATAAGCTTGATTAGGTGTCAATAATAGAGAAAGATACTAAAAAGCCAATGAATTCAGTATGTTAAATATTGTGCAGTAGTAATCATAGCATTTCTAAATTCAAATTCCTCAGTAATAAGAAAAAAAAATCCACCCTGGGATTATTTCCTTTTGGAACCCAAATGTTCAATAAGGTGAGAAGACTGATAAGGATAACTAAAACGAAAGGTTAAAGAAAGTTGAGGGTTATTTTATATGATAAATGCTAACAACACAGAAGGAAAAAATATGTACTCCCAGATCAACAGCTGCTATGACTAACTGTCCAAAATCAAATTGATCCCATTAAAAGCTTGTCCTAATGTGCAAAACAAATAAATTCAAATATTGTAAGTTATATGCAAATAAAAATTAGCACTAAGGAAAGCTTAAGTAACCAGGTCTGAGAGATCTCAAAGTCAATATGAATTGACTTTCTAAATATTTTAACAGAAAGAAGAAAATCAATGGAATCATTTAGTCATTATAATACAAAAGACGAGAGAGACTCAATAAACTCCTTCCTACTTAAGACCTTACAAAGATTTCTAAATCCTAATTAACTTTGACAGCAGCTAGGTTAAGAATATTAGGTTAACTACAGTAAGATGGCAAGTTCACAAAATGTTTTAATCCAAGAGAACAGAATGAATAAAAATAATCTCAGGTAGTATTCATCTAAGAATTATAGTGAAATTCAAACGCAAAACTGATAAAATATTAGATAAAGTGAATACAAATGGCCTCTTCCAAGAGCATTTTTGGAAAGTCAACAAAACTTCTGGCTATTGAAAATGCTGACCTTGAGTACTCTAGCTTGGTAAGTCTATTTTCTATACCCGAAACCTGATCAAATCAATACACTATCAAGTTAGAATACAAAACTTGCTAGAAAAAAAAAATAGAATATAAATTTTTTTTAAGAGAAAAGTCACACTACTCTGACATCTCTCTTCCATGGAAATAAAACAATTGTGCTTAAAAAATGAAATTTCCATGACTTTATATTTAGAATATAAAAGTAGTTGAAAGAAACAACAAAAGAGGAAGGTATAAAAATTATCATCTGTAGATGATGAGAAAGTAAAACTGATTCCTCAAAAGATCTGTGCTATAATTTGTTATTAACAGTTTTATAAATTATTTAGAATATGAAATATTACAGTGAAATTTGCAAGTTATACTAACTCCTCTAAGTAATATAACATGCTGATGAGAACAGCCTTCAGATAACATATTTAAAATCTGTATGATTAGACAGCATAGTAGCATATAAATATTTATTATTAAGATAGGTATCTGGGAAAATAATTCTCAAACTATGTTTATAAAATAAAATTATCTAATTGTTATTTGAGATCCAAGAATGGAATATTTACTGATATTAGTTCCCACCATAAAAAAAGGCTATTGTTAAAAATAAATCATTACCTTGTCTTTGGTTATTATTGTGTATGATTATAAATTTCTTCCTATAATTCTGTCTACAATACTTATATATAACATCACAGATGAAAGAACCTGGGCAACATTAGAAGAAAACCTTCCAGTTTTCTCATAACTTTGTATGGAATAAAATTAATATAGTATATTATTAATTTCTACTGCTTCAAATAAGAACATTGATAAAAATGTTTTTTAGAAAGCATACAGTATTTAAGGAGGCTGAGGCAGGAGGATCTTTAGTTCAAAGCAAGCCTCAGCAATGGCGAGATGACTAAGCAACTCAGTGAGACTCTGTCTCTAAATAAAATACAAATTAGGGCTAGGGATGTGGCTCAGGAGTTGAGTGACACTGAGTTCAATCCCTGATACCCACCACCTCAACAAAAAAAAAAAAAGAAAGAAAGAAAGCAAAAAGATAGTATTTAACAGTGGATGCAGCAGATCTAAATGAAGTCTTAGGAACAAAATGGAGAAACATGTATTATGAAAATAGAAATCACAAATAACATAGCATGCTGGGCATAGTGGCAAGTTCCTACAGTCCCAGCTATATAAGAAGCTGAGGCAGGAAGATTGCAAGTCCTCAAAAATAAAAAATAAAGGGCTGCAAGTGAAATAAGCCAGACTCAAAAAGTCAATGATCATATGTTCTCACATGTGGAAACTGGAGAGAAAAAAGGGAAAATAAGAGGGAAGATGCCATGAAAATATAAAGGAGACTAGTAGACAAAGGGGACCAAAAAGAGGGAGGAGAAAAGGGTAAACAGAGTTACTTCTGGGAATGAAACTGACCAAATCATTTTAAGTGCATGTAGCTTAACAAAAAATCCCACTATTACATATAATTATAATGCACCAATAAAATAAATAGATAAATATCTGGGACAGTTGTAGATTGCCCAAGTTCAATCCCCAATATCACAAAAAGAAAAAAAAAACATGAAAACAAAGAAAATAAAGACAGACATAAATAAGCCTATTTTAAAATACAAGATTAAAGGCAATACTACCAAACGGTAAAGGGTAAGAGTGCCTGACTATGCTGGGAGGGGGAAAAGGTTACAAGATTAACTTTCTGAATCTTTTTCTTGAATCTAGGCATCTTGGATATGGCTTTATTGCTACTGATTGCTAAAATGATACAGTAAAAGAAACATTGAAAATGCTTAAAATGCTAATAAGTTAATTTCCAAGATACCTATACCTCTCACAGGGGTAGATTTGTCATCAGGAAGACTTTAACAAGTGATAGCAAACAGTCAATGGATAAAGCTCTTCCTAAGAGCTTTTTTATATGGTTATTTTACATGGTTAAAATAAGTTCAGGAAGAACAAACCAATGATGGATAGCCTAACAACAAGTTATTAAGATACAAGGTTCTCAATTTTGAGCTCCTACAATCAGTAGATAGACATGTTATAAAGAACTGATAATAGAGCCAGGCACCATGGTACACACCTGTAATCTCAACTACTCAAGAGTCTGAGGCAGGAGGATCAAAAGTTCAAGATCAGCCTCAGCAACTTAGTGAGACCCTGTCTCAAAATAAATAAAAAGGACTGGTGATGTAGCTCAGTTGTTGAGTACCCCTGTGTTCAATACCCAATACCACAAATAAATAAAGTAACTGATAATAGAGAATAAATTTAGAGAGAAAGAATACAATAACCCAAACAAATATTTTATAGAAAATGAATAACTTCCACTGCATTTCTAGGGCATCAAGAGAATGGTCTTTAACAGATCAGTGTTATTACTAAGTTCCAGAACAGGATGCTTCATACCCCATTAGTGAGACTTTCTTTTATGCTAAGAGTGAGAAGACACTCCTACTTCCTACTAAATTACGCCAGTCGTTTCCTGCATTATCTGACTAATCTAAAGGCTCATCCTGACTTGCTTAAAAGGTGAGGTTTTACACATTTGCTACTCTGGCAAACCAAGTATTTCGTGGTCTACTGAAATTTTTCCTTCTCCTATTTAATGTTCTTTTTTTGATTCTCCTCCATTAATATTGTTTTTCTAAATTCTAAGCCTAATATCTACACCTCTCAGAAACAACATTTCAACTTGAGCTAAAATTTTCATGCAGCTATTTAAAAAATAGTAATCTACAATAAAACCAACTCACCAACTGGATGAGTGATGGTGTTCTGTAGGCTGGGAATTACCACAGAGTAGGTAGGTGAGCGATAAGGATAAATTGTTGTAGGATTTGTAGAGATAATATTCTGTGTGGTACCAGAAAATACATTGGAAACACTTAGAGGGAAGCGTTTTCGCTTCCCTGGACGAGGCTGATAAACCCAACCTATAGAAGAAGATAGACTTTTTAATATAAAAGTACAGACTAATTAGCCTTTAAATAATTCTTTTTTTGTTAAATTAGAAATGTAATATAATTCAAAGTTTTTAAAAGCATATTTTCCATTTCTATAATAAAATTTCTGTGAATGACTCCTCCATTGTGCAAGTTAACATATATAGGCATATAGCTTCTAACTAGTTGTCACTTTTGTAACCCATAGCTGAAAGTCAAATGTCTTATATACAGTGACACACTGAATTGTAGCAGAATCTACCTCAAAGCCATTGAGTTTAAATCCAAAAGCCATTCCTCTCCTATTTTTATTTTTCCTAAAGCAATGTCTCCCCATAAGACTTTATTCATTTCCTCCTGTTTCCTCCCTTTCCATAAGATAAAATTGTCTACAATAGACATTAATAACTAGTCACTATTTTTATGCTTAAAAAGAGTCACTCTTCTATACCTAGCAATTTCCAAAACCATAAATAACTCAATTTCCTTTCAAAGTCAGAAGAGTAACATTAGGGCAATTGTAGCTAATGCATAACCAGAAGAATCACTGATTCTCTGTAGTTACTACCTCTGATCTTCCCTCCTAAGACGCCTTGCTCATATTTCGAGGGAAAAAAACTAATTCTTTTGAATCCTGTGTAGTTATGTTAGCCATATACTGTGTAATTACCTAAGCTTAATCTCAACATCATTGCTGCTGGGAAAGAATCAGATTCATTTAATTATAACATGAAGGGAATAAGTGTATCAATCAAAAGACAGGATGATGTTCTAATAACCATATAATATGGTATTAGTCCTTGCTTTTTCATTATCTTTTAAGTACATACTGTACATTTCTGTTGCCATGATTTTAATATATCCAGTATACCCCAGAAATGTAGATATTTATTGCCATTAAATTTATGCCATTATCTATATATGTTTCTGTCTAGGTTTAATCAAAACTACAGTAAAACTGTATGTCCCCTGGTTTGCATTAGTTGGTAAATATGAGACCACTCAGATATCCCCCCACTTATTTCCATTTAAGAAAACTTATGCTTTGTATATCAATCATTACTATAACAATGGTCCCTATTCCCTTTCTTGCACATTATCAGATTAGGAAAAAATTACACATTTTTGTCCTTCCATCTCAACCTAATTTAATTTGTATCTAAATAAATTTAAAATAAGTTAGAAAGAGACTTTGTTTATTTCATTTGATTACCAGGAAATTCCTCTCTGTGCTTTTCTTTAATCTTTTGTGCTTCATCATAATAAGGTTTCTTTTGTTCTTCACTAAGTTTGTTCCACTCTAACCCGAGCTGGACACTGATTTCTGCATTGTTGGCCGCTGGGTTAGCTTTGGCTAGTGCTGAACGGTGGATCCTTGCCCAAACCATAAATGCATTCATGGGTCGCTTCACGTGACCATTTCTGTCCTTACTGAAGGGAGTATCTGGTATTCCTACATGACAAAAATTAAGAGACTAAATTAATGTGACACACATACAACCATAAAGTGAAGTGTACCTTCATCTATACTTATTTTTTAAGTATCCAAAGAAATTATACACTTCAGTACAGCCAAAGAATCACTAATATTCCAGAATTCCTTATAATCCCTGAACTCAGCATTCAAAACTATAGCTTAGAAGGACTCTTTTGATGAAATAATAATGTTGAAGACATAGTAAATTGCTGGTTTGTTATTCCTTTGAGCTTTATTAAAACCTCTAACAATAATTAACATTTATTTACCACTAAAAAACACTCCATCATTAGAGGAGAAAAACTATGACTTATTCAGGACTATAAGTCTACCATTAAGTAGATGTTATCTATATGTGTAAAGGAACTAATTTACATGGTGCTATAATGTCCTTTGAAGCAAAAATACTTATAATACTATATTAATTGTATTTCACTGTGATGATGAAGCTCCTGTCCAACTAAACTATGTTCTACAAGATAAACAGGAAAAAATAAATAAAAGTGAATTTCAAGAGTCACAGCCTGTTCAAATAAAGAAAATTGGCTAGCTTCACATTTCTATGCAGTTCATAAAAATACTGTCTGTAAACTTCCTATATTTTTCTCTTTACTGTAGGATTACTTGATTTATAAAATTATTAAAGTAAAGGATAGAAATGTAGTGTAAAGATAACTATTCTATTATTTCTTTTAGACAATGAAAGCAAAGTCAAAACTAGGGAAGATAAAAACAAGCAAATAAGGTGGGCAGGTGAAATCAATAAAGTAAAAACAAACAATAAACATAAAAGTGTTTAGAAAATATAATAAAAATAGAAAGTGTCCTAAAAGTTTTTAGACTAGTTACATTTAATCATTTATTGTTTTCTCCTAGAAAAACGTTTATTGTTCATTTTTGAAGAAGATAACCTCCATAATGGGTATAAACACCACTGTTTCTTCTATTTCTTAATACTTAGTATTGACCTACTATAATAGGATATATTTAATGTTGATTTTTTGTAGCATATAAACTGAAGGCTTTGCCACTGTCTAGCAAGAATATTTCTATTTTTTGTGTACAAAAATTAGCTAAATCTTATTGTTTACTGGTCTTTAAAACATTCTTTAAAACTATGTGGGACTCTTGAACGTGTTAAGTGTATTTTACTGGTATACGTACAAGTCAATCAGAAGTGATACCTGTGCAGACTAAGAATCAGTTCCATGATTTTATTTTTCTACTTTAGGCTTCTGAACTGCTGACATGTCTGCTATGGGGCAACATAGGCGAAGTTTGAAAACCAGATTCCCCTGCCGTCTAATACCTGCATCTGAGGGAAGCACGGTGAGCGGGACATCTTTGGTTTCAATTTTTACAGAAGGCTCCAATAAGGATTGCATTTTAATAGGCACTGGTGTCAGGGGAACTTTGGTCAACCTTATCAGCTCAGAAGGTGGAGGTCCCTGAAATTGGATCCGGGCCCCCGGGGGGACAGTGTGGAGAGTCAAAGGGATCCTGAGGTCTTGCTGGTGCGGCCCAAAAGCACTAGACGGCTGGGCTAGGATGACCTCCTTGCTGCCATGGCCCAAGCCACTGGAGGCCGGCTCCGCGCCTAGCCTGCAGTCCTCCGAGAGTCTCTCGGGCTCCTCAGTTTTGATGACTCCTTCTCCGACAGCCGTCAGGCTTTTGCCTTCCCTGCCTTTTGCTGCATCCCTCATGACCTCCTCGGCCTCCAGCTTGCCCTTCTTCTCGTCTCCTCGGCGGCTGTCGAGGGCCGGCCCGGGGCCTTCCACTTTGGCCGCTCTGCAAGCTCTAGGGCCCGCCTCGACCGCCCTCCGAGGGCCAGTCGACGGGTCCAAGGCGGGTCCCAGCTCCTGCTTCTCCGCCTTGACCTGCAGCGCCCGCGGCTGCACCGGACGCAGCTCGGGCCTGCAGGGGGCGCCCTCGGACGCCGGAGGAGGCGGCAACAGCAGCAGCTCGGACCTCAGCGGCAGCAGCTGCGCCTGCGCGGGCGAGACGGCTGCACCTTCGTCCTGGGCCTGAGGCAGTAGTGGCCCGGGCGGTAGCAATAACACCTGTTCCGGCTTCACCTGAAGCAGCCGCCGTGCGGTGGACTGGACGCCCGACGCCGGGGCCTCTCCGCACGACTAGGCCACCGTCGCAATGGCGGCCGCCGCCCTAAAGGCAGTGCCCTCGACCGGCAGCGGGGGCGGAGCGGGGCGCAACCGGCGAGGTGGGGTCGCCCGTGGCAGTTGGCGCGGCTGAGGCGGCGGCTCCGGCCTGGCTCGCTCCATAGGGGGGAGGGGGGCGCCTCGGCCTGGCCCTGCCGGGATTGTGAGCTCAGCCGTTTGTTGGCGACCTTCCCCCTCCCCCTTTCGGTTAAGACCCTTCCAAGGTCTTTGCTACCCAGAACCCTACGCGGTTCAAAATGCAGCCTCCGTCTCAGCCTCGTCCAATCGGAAGCGTCCCGCCGCCCCCGGCACACCAATCGCAGGCACGTTCCTCGGCTCCTCCCGCCTTTCGCTCTTGCCTCGTGCAGAAGCCTCGAATCACCCGAGATAGCCGGAGCAGCAGCACGTGTTCCCCATTTTCCCCCTCTGACTCTCCCTCTCTTCCGGAGTTTTCTTCCGGCCGTTGTCCTTAGTTACCCCTCCCCCGCCCGGAGCACCGACAATGGCATTGCCCTGGAGACGGAGCTGTTCCAAGCTACTGACCTCCAGGGATAAAGCCATGAGCCTCCTACGTGGGCTGGGAACGAGGCCTTGTGCCAGCGCTTTGTGAGGACGACCATGAACATCGACGGGACGTCGGGATCGTCATCGAGGAGGTGTGGGGGGAATTTCCAACCTCTCAGTAACCCTATTTGTTGAAAGCTTGGGGATGACATTCAATTTACTGTGGTTATTGTGTTATGAAACTTTCAATTGCCAGGTCTTTTGGGCCCTATTTCCCGAATACACACCAAAGTCATCCGTTTCTTTGGGGCTTCATCGCTGTTACCCTCTTTTAAGCTTCCACCATCTTTCACCTAGATCCTTCCATAGTCCTATAAATAGTCTTGCTTTTCACTCTTGTACCACTACAGCTGCCAAAATCTTTTAAAAATACAAATCTAGTCAGTCACATCGTTTTCCTATCTGTAGCTTCCCACTGTCCACGTGATGTAAAGGTCCAAATTCCTTGGCAAAACCTTTTAAGTGTCCAAATGGCTTGGGCTTTACCTCCAGCTCTGTGTGCTTCAGCCATATCTCCCCTGCCCCCTTATCATTCTTACATACCACAGGTCCTTTTTACATACCCAGGATGCTGTTCCTCCCTTGGTATCTTGGTAGCTCTGAGACTGAAAATCGGTCGAATCTACTTTATGTACTCATACCTCCATCACTTCCTTTAAAGGGCTTATCACAATTGGTAATTATATATTTTTTTATGTGACTGTACTGCCTCCCCCACTTGGCTATAAAACTTCCTTAGGGCAGAACTGCTCATCTTTTGTGCAGCATTCAATCCTCAGTGATTTCCACTAAGCCGGGAATACAGTGAACAAATGAGAACTTCCTTTATTAAGGTCTTCCTTTTTCGATGGGCACTATTTCAGGTCATTTCTATGTCTTTCCTTTTTTCTTTTTTAGGATTGCATTTATATTTACATTACACATCAAGAAAAAGAGAAATCTGGCATTAACATTTGCTACATTTCTCAACTAAAAGCTACAGATTTATTTTGCAGTAGATGATTTTTGCAACCATGGTATTTCTCAAAGAAGACCAACTCTAATTCTCTAGAGTCCTCTATTGTTAAATATGGTGAACAGAATTTTTTAACACCTACAGGCAGACAAGGGCAATGGTTTTTTTTTTTTTGAGCATTTTAATCTCAGGAACCCTTTACACCCATATAAACTGTTGAAGATCCTCATTTTTTTTTTTTTGGTGTGGATTTTATCTGTCAATATTACCATATTATGAAAGGAAAAAAATTAAAGTTAGCAGCTCATTTAAAATATCAATCCTTTACGTGTTAACATAACACATTTTCATGAGGGGAAAAGCCCAATTTTTTCACAGAAGAGCATTGTGGATCTAATGTATGGCTTTTAAAAATAGTTGGATTCCCACATCTTCTGCATTCGTTTTGTTATGATTCCCATCATAGATCATTTAGGCTTTGGGAAACTTTATTGTACACTCATGAGATAATGAAGAAAAATAACAAATATTATCAGAACTATTATGCGAATAGTCAACCTAGCAAACTCTCTGAAAGGATCAGTCCCTATGGCACTTTGAGAACTACCCGACTAAAGTTTAAATGAAAGAATGGGTGTGGGCATAAGCAGAGTTTGACAAGAGAGGCAAATAAATCAAGTTACTTTGGATTTTCTGCAATGTTGTAGTTTATATTCCAATCTGAGTTGCTGAAAATAGGTTGACAATGTATGCATGGATTGATTTCTGAACTCTATTCTGTTCCTTCCTTCTATATGCCTATCTTTATTCCAGTACCACAGTCTTTATTACTGTAGCTTTATGGTAAATTTTGAAATTAGGTTATTTAAGTTCTTGAACTTTGTTTTCAAAATTACATTGGCTTGGGCTGGGGTTGTGGCTCAGCAGTAGAGCACTCGCCTCACATGTCGGAGTCCCTGGGTTCAATCCTCAGCACCACATAAAATAAATAAATAAGTGAAATAAAGGTATAAAAAAAAGATAAGCTTTAAAAAAATGGATTGGCTTTTCTCAGTCCTTAACATTTAAAATGTAAACATTAGGATTATTTTATCAATTTAGAAAAGTCTGGTATTTAAATAGGAATTGTATTGAATCTGTGGATCAATTTTAGGGAAGCTGTCATCTGAAAAATATTGAATTTTCTGATTTGCAGAAGTGGAACCTGTCTTCATTTATTTAGTTCTTTATTTTTTTTAAAGAGAGAGAGAGAGAAAGAGAATTTTTTTAATATTTATTTTTTAATTTTTGGTGGACACAACATCTTTTTTATTTTATTTTTATGTGGTGCTACCGCTTGAGTCACATCTCCAGCCCAAGTTCTTTATTTTATTGACAATGTTTGGTAATTTTCAGTGTACATTTCCACACTTGCTTTCATTAAATATATTATTTTATTCTTAATTATTTTGGATGCTCTTACAAATGTAATTATTTTCTTATTTTCATTTCTTATTTTATATTGATTGGGGGGCGGGTATTGGGGATTGACCTCAGGTACACTTTACCTACTGAGTTACACCCAGCCCTTTTTATTTTTAATTTTGAGACAGGGTCTCATTAAGTTGCTGATGGTCTCACTGAATTGCTGAGGCTGGCCTCAAACTTTGTGATCTTCCTGCCTCAGCCTCCTGAATTGCTGGGATATATTGATTTTTTATTTTTATTTTCTTGCCTTATAGCACTAGCTGGAACCTCCAGTCTAATTGAACAAAATTGATGAGAGTAGACATCCTTGCCTTGTACCCAGTTTTAGGGAGAAAACATTCAATCATTCACCTTTAAGCTTGTTGTTAGTTGTAGGTGTATGTAGCTACCTTTCATCAGGTTAAGGAAGTTTCCTTCTAGTCCTGCTTCATTGAGAGCTTTATCATGAAGTTTGACTTTATCAAATTCTTTCACATCTACTGATAATGATCATATATCTTTCTCCTTTGTTCTAGGGGTCAGCAAATTTTTTTCTAAAAAGCTGTATAGTAAATATTTTTTACTCTGAATTAAGTTATCTGATCTCTGTTGTAACCAATCAACTCTGCATTTGAAGGATGAAAGCAATCATAGACAATCTATAAATGAATAGGCATGGCAGTATTCTAATAAAACTATGCAGAAGGCATGCCTAATTTAGTCTATAAGTCATTCTATTAGTAAGTAAATGTATTATATTACTATTCAGATGATAAGCCAATATGAATTCTTCCTGGGAGAGGGGAAATAATCCACTTGGTTATAAGTTGTTATAAGTGTAATTCATTTTATATATTACTGAATATGCCATATTCATACATGCATATAACATAATTCAATCTCATCCTTCAGTACTTTTGCTTTTTCTCCCCTCTTACCTTCCCTATCTGCTTTCTCTATTCACTAAAAGAATTTTGGCATTTATATTTATGAAAGATACTGTCTATAGTTTCTTTGGATATTTTTTGTCTAAGGTGTTGGCAGCAGTATAAAATGAACAAGAACATGTCTCCTTCTACTTTCAAAAAGACTTTTTTTGGATTGATCTTGTTAATTCATTAAATATTAATAGAATTTACCAGGCAAGTCATCTAGACCTGGATTTTCCTTTGTAGAAAGAGCTTTTAAATAACTTAACTAAATATTAGTACCTTTACTTGATATAGAACTATTCTGATTTTATATTTCTTCATGAATCCACTTTTATCATTTCTATCTATAAATTTGCCTGTTTCATGTAAATTGTCAAATTGCTGATATAATATTCCTTTCTGTAGGGTTCAGAATGTTACTGTTTTTATTCCTACAAATTTTCCTGTTGAAAATTTGTCATCTCTTACTTTATTTTATTCTACTAAAATTTTTACTTATTTCAGATATTTTAAAAAATCAATCAACTAAAAAGTTTCATTGGTTTTATGTATTGTTTTGCTGTTTTCTTTTTACTGTTTTCAGCTGTGACTTTCATTATTCCCTTCATTCTGCTTACTTTGGCTCTTTTTTTTTTTTTAGTTTAAAGTAGAAGCTTAGTTATTATGTTTTTAATTAATGATTTTTAAATCTTTCTTTGTAATCTTTTAAAACTGTAGATTTCCCTCTACATACTGCTTTGCCTACATTCTGTTAATTTTTATATGTTGTGATTTTATGCTTATTTAGTGGAAGATATTTTATAATTTCCCTGGTGATTTTTTTCTTTGACCCATCAGTTATTTAGAAACATGTGGTTTAGTTTCTGACTATGTGAGGATTTTCTAGATTTTCTTCTGCTGTTGATTTCTAATTTAATTTCATTGTGATCAGAGAACATTATATTATTTCCATCCTTATGAATGAAATGTGACTTGATTTATGACCTTGCCTATTGTCCACTATGAAGAATGTTTCACTTGTACTTTAAAAGAATATATTCTACTGGTGTTGGATGAATTATTCTACTTGATTGATAGTGTTGCTCAAGTATTCTATACCCTTTCTGACTTACTTTCCAGTCATGTTATCAATTAGTGAAAGTGAGAAACATCCTTGGCCCATTTATTGATTGGGTTATTTGGGTTTTGGTTTTTTTTTTTTTTTTTGGTGCTTAGCTTTTTGAGTTCTTTATATACCCTTGAGATTAGTGCTCTATCTTATATGTGAGGGGTAAAAATTTGCTCCCAAAAT